ATCAAGAAAAGAAAAAATAGAAATTTCAAAATCAACAAGAAAGTGTTACTGCCTTAGAAACCCAGAATGCCCTCTTTGTAATTATATAAGTGATTTCACTCTTATATCACTCTCAACTTCACATATAAGACTTCTCACAAGTCTTATACTCTATCTAAACCTCTTACATAAGCTTAGCCGTTCTTCAATCACCTCTCTAACCACACAAAACACTTCTTATAATAATAGGATAATCTCTTATGAAGTTAAGTATATGAAAGCACAAAGTTAAAGCACCAATGATGAAACTTAGCAAAGAAATATAATACTCATACTTAGTCTTTGGATATTCCCTTATTAATACTTTATCCTTTTGACTATGACTCTTGGTCCATGACTTCGTCCTATATCCATTAGATGCCCTTATTATATATAAAGAGTCAAATCTTTGACCATTAATAACTTACTTAAATTAATATTATCTATAAGATAACTTATTCTACTTTTACTTTAACAGCCACCTCCACTCCTTTTAGAGGCTCTCATTCTTGAATACTTCTTTTCTCCTACTCTTGAGTTTATTAACTAAATCTAATGCAAAACTATGAATGTGAATATGTATGTATAGAAAATGAGAGAGTGGAGGATCACATATCTTTGTAAAATTAAAATATACTAAATAAATATAAATATTTTTTTCTTATTTATTATTATTTATTATATATATTACATGTAAAATTTATTATGACACTTCTAAAAATTAAATATAATTACTTATTATTAGATAATATTTATAACATTGGATAAATACGAATTAAACTTGATTTTTTGAATTTTTTTTGAGAGGTAATTGACATCAAATATACTTACTCAAACTAATTTTTATTTTATAAGTGAATCATAATATAAATTGTACTCTCATTTAAATATAAATCAAATATAAATTAAATTTATAAATATCATCTATAAATAGAAAACTGGTGTATTAATTATAAAAATTTATTCTAAATCTATCATAATAAAAAAATTATTAATATATATAATTTCATATGAAAAATATTCATAATTTTTATTTATATATAAAAAATGACATTTTAAAAATATTATTTTTTATTTCTTAATTCAAAAATTTTAAATAAATATATATATAATATATATTAAATTAAAAAATAATTTAATATTATTGTATATATTTTAAATCATATTTACATACTACAATATATAAAAAAATTTAAAGACTAAACTTGATTGCATAAATACCACAACTATAGATATATATATATATATATATATATATATATATATATATATATATATATATATATATATATATATATATATATATATATATTGGTATTAGTAATTAAGTTGATGAGAAGAATTAGGTAGAAGTACATAAAAGTAGGCTAATTTGATTTTATCTTTGTAGACAATTTCTAAGAAGCTTAATAGATGCAAATTTGATTCTACAAGTGTTTGTATATTATTGGTAGGTTAAAAACTTGGCTAATAAATTGGCCTTATAGAGCAAATATTGGAAACTTACATTATAAGTTAAACATGTATCTCAAAAGTTGTATATGTATGAAACAACTTACAGAACTATGCTATGGAGCTTTTAAATTTGAAAGTACATAAAAATGAAAGAGTTAGGCCTTTTTCATTGTTATCAATGTATTTTTTTTGTCATTATTCTAGTTTCAAGAGTCTCTAGTCTTATTGTCTTTGGTAATAGTCATTCTATTTTCTTGTGGAATACATATATTCCATTTTTATCTTTTGTCATTTTAATAATAATTTTTTATTTTTTTATTTTTCTTCTTTTTAGTTTTTTAAAATTAATAAAAATATATTTATAATATCAAATTTTTTTCTTTCTTAATTAAGAATAATTTATATTTTTTAATAATATATAAATATATTTAAAATTTTAAGTTATCCAAATCTAAATTAATACTATTTATAGATTTTTTTAAAAAAATATTTTTTTATAGAAAAATTCAAATAAAATTTAACATCTTTTTTTCTATTTTATCAATGAAGAAAAAATTATTGAAATAAAAGATATTATAGCTCAAATGCAAAAACAAATAACAAAGCTAATGCTTCTAATTCATTAACTTAACGAATAACTACAGAGAATAATAAGATTACATGAAAGTGAAGATGTTGATATGATTGGAGCTACCTCAACATTGACACAAAATCAATTTTTTTATAATAGAAAATTATTCAATTTCTATTATAAATAATAAAAAACCAATAGTTGTCTTATTTAAGAAATTTGATGTTCTAGGATCAAAATTTCAAAGATTTATTAATTAAATACAATTGGTGATTGAGCCTCAATCTGAAAATTATATTATTTCTTAGGTCACAATTCATATTTATTGAAACATTACTTTCAAATTTTATTTTATTATGATTTTCATATATGTTTAAATAATCTAATTTAATTTTTTTTAAATTGGATTTTTTTGAATTTTTTTTATTTTATGTATAAAAAACATGATAAAACTTGTATTGCAATCAATAAGAATTATATTTTATATCAAAGCAATTATTCAATATCACTATATGCTTTACAATATTAATAACTTATAATTAATATTAAGTTGAATGATGATGCACTTATCAACCAATTTTTATATAGATTGAAATATGAAATAAATTAATTTATGTTGAAGTCACTAAATCTTTAAATGTTGAGTTCAAAAATTGACTTTTTTATAAAAAATAAAACTTAGCTTTTTGAATTTTAACCTAACAATTGCACAAATATGCCTCAATGTCTTTTTGATTTAATGACAATACTAACATCTTCTTTACATATGCATTTGAAAGTGAAAGACATAAAAAATTGATGTGGTATGTTTCAAATCTTTCACAAAATAAAAATAGTTCTAATACTATCAAGAAAGATTGTGCTTATCATCTTATTAAATAAGAAAGATTGTCAAATTTTTCAAATGATTATTTTTTAGAAGTGGTTGTCCTACCTACACCTTCCAAGACATAAATGTTATATAAAGATGTAAATTTCTAAAATTTTTGATTTGTGGATACTAATATTGAAAAATATATATTATTAAATATGATTCTAGAAATAGTTTGTAAAAAATTAAGGCATAAAAAGAAAAATATATATATATTTTTTAAATTCGGAAATCTAGGACATATAGGTATTAGCTAGAAAAGATATTATCCACCTCTCTTGTGAGCTTAGACCATAATTTCTTGTCATAGACAAGAATTGTTAGGATAGATCAAGATTTGATGACTAATTCTCAAATATCATTTCTTAAGATATTAAAAAAAAATCTAAAATTTTATCTACTTAGTTAAATGACACAAATAATTTTTATCTAAGAGTAAAAAAATTCTCAAGAGAACCTCAAAAAAAGTCTTTTGAAATCATTATTTTTAAACTAACAATATTGCAAAGTAGAATATAAGGCATGGAAAACCAAAAAATTACACATATATCTCAAAAGTCTAAAAAATACATAGGTTTTACTCCCAAGAATATCTTCAATAATACAAGTGTCAAGGAATTTTTTGGACTTAGTCTTAATTAAAAAAAAGAAGTCTTAAGTAAGATAATTTAAAATTAAACTAACTACAACAAAGATAATACTATACAACATTTATTTATTTTTAAATATTGCATCCTCTATAAGTTCCAAAATGATGTCTCTTGAGCATTGATGTTGAAAAATTCTTCTAAAATAATATCTTTATGATTGCTTAATTGATCTTCAAAAAATAGCTTGACTGCTATTTGGATCAATATACAGTTTATTCCAAAATGAATTGATTTCACTTGAGAAATATAGTGATGAAAACTTAACCAAGAATTTTATATGCAACTCAAAAACTCCAATTGAAGCTCTTATCTTATTTGTGTAGAAATAAAATGATTGATCATCTCAAATGTATGTAGATTATTCAAGTCTTAATAAGATTACCATCAAGAATAAGGATCTTATACTTTTGATACCAAGACTTCTTGATCAATTGAATTAAACAAAGATCCATATCAAAATAGATCTATTATAAGCATACAAATTAATATACATTAATAAAAGAGATAGACAAAAGATTGTATATTAAATCAACTATGAAAATTTTGAATGTAATTTCATGCGTTTTGGACTTACAAATATTCCAAATGTTTTATGAATCTTTAGTCTTTTTGTCTTTGATAGTAGCTATTATAATTAGTTATAGAATATACATAATTTCTATTATATATATATTTAATTTGTTTAATTTATCTTCCTTCAAATTCTCATCTTTGAGACTTAATAGACAAGAAATTAATAATACAAAACATAAAATACAATAACAAAAAAAATAAGCATTGTAAGTACTATGAAAAAATAAGATATTGAGGTAGTAATGTTTGGGCACATGGAGGTTAATGTTGATACAATCTTCTCATAAAATAAATAAAATAAGAATATTTCTATTAAATTTTAAGAATGTATAAATCTTATAAATTTTAATATTAATATATATATATGAAAAAAAATTAAAGTGTCTTAAGATTTGGAGTTTATTTAATGATCACATTGTAATTCTATTATTTATAGATACATTGATAACTGTAGTATTATATACTTGTATGCAGATTTTTTTTTCCCTTCTGCTTTCCATTCATGAAAAGCAATTAATCTTTTACAAACATGTGAACCAAATTAAGTATCATTATTTAAAAAAAATATATTGATATGTTATCATGAAATTTCTTCATATTTATTCTTCTAAAAATCACTATGTATTTCATTTCATTGTTAAATTATACATTAATTTAAATTAGGCAAAACAATATCTCTTGAATAGGTTATTTCAGTTCAATTTAATAATTTTACCAAGTTGTAATAAGAAAATAGGCCATATATAATCATACTTGTTGCGGAGGCATTGCTCGCCGTGGCATCGGAGACGAGTGTTTTGAAGGGAGCCTTCATCCAAATCGACATGGGGGTATCATACATACTCTGTATTCATCCAAAGAGAGAGCGACAAGGAGATTAGGGTTTAGATGGAGGGCAGAGCCTGCTTGAAATTCCCCTTTGCCACTATTGTCAGTGGACTGACTCGTCGCAAGCGCTGGAGTGGAGTTGCTACGCACTGCAGCAGGACGGCAATCTCCCTGACTGACCACCATGCCTGCCCCGATGATGGCCAAGAAGGCGCCCGGTGTCGCCGCCAAGGGCAAGAAGAAGGCCCAGACCTTCACCATCGACTGCGGCAAGCCCGTCGAGGACAAGATCATGGATATTGCCTCCTTCGAGAAGTTTCTCAACGACCGCATCAAGGTGGACGGTAAGGCCGGAGTGCTCGGCAACGCCATCTCCATCTCTCGCGAGAAGAACAAGATTAGCGTCACTTCTGAGAGCTCTTTCTCCAAGAGGTACAGTACCGCTTCCGTCTTGACCTCATTCTGAACTTTGTTCCCCACTATCGGCATTTTCTAGTTCCACTGTAGTTTTTTTTGGAGTTTTATACGTTTAGAACGACGACGAATGTTGTCAGCGTAGGGTGTGAATTAACGGTTAGGTTTCTCAATTGTAATGAGATGCGAAGGCACAGTATTAAGGGAATTAGGACGTTATCTTATGGATTACTTTTAATGGCTGAAGAAATTTGACTTAAGGAAGCTATTGGGGATCTTGTTCTCACGTACGGTACTCTGTTGAGTCCTGCATTGGGATTGCTACGCTTACGTATGTGAATGGCATACGATTTAATAGCACGGAGAATTATTCACTGTTGGAATTCCTAATCAGTCAATGCATTTAACCATACTATTATTGGTTTAAAAACATATCTCTTCCTGACTCTATGTAGCTTTGTTCTTCATAATTTACAGATACTTAAAGTACTTAACAAAGAAGCACCTGAAGAAGCATAACGTGAGAGATTGGCTTCGCGTGATAGCGTCCAACAAGGACAGAAATGTGTATGAATTGCGGTACTTCAACATCGCGGACCAGGATGCCGAGGAGGAGGAGTGAGGCCCAATTTTTCGAGTCCTTCGATATCAAGAGTGCGACACTGAGTTTCTGTGGCCATTTCTTTTACGTTATCCACAAGGATCCTTGACTTCGAGTTTATTTTTTCAGCTGTGCGGAATTCAGCTAAAATGAAGGATTATATACTTGAAAATGGATTTAACCGTTGTTTGCAAAAATATTTCACTTCACGATGATTCTTAAAATACATACTGTATGAACCTATTTGATTACAACGATTAGCTGTACCTCAACAGTTGAGTTTTTTTCTCTGGGTAATATGTCCTTCGAACAAATGTTGTGCACCATTTTCTGTCTGAAGTGTCACTCTGTTGGTTAAATCTGGTTCCTTTTAGTAAGCTCAGTTGTGTATCACAGTTCGCCCTCACACACAATCCTCGCGACTGGGTGCAGTGTCGGGTGCTTGTAATTGCAGTATTGCACAAGTGAAATGTAAAGGATATAATACCATCTACTTATTGTGTTGATGCAGAAAGCATATGTTACCACTTATGAGTACAATGAATGTGCTGACTTGTAGTTGTAAACGCTGTTAGCTTTGTAAAGCTGTGTTAAAATATACAGTGCTACAATGTTTTTCAAACAACATTTTCACTTACATGTTACTGAAGCATAGTTTTTATCAGAAAAGGTTGTGATATGTTGATACATTATTTACAACGAGTTTGCTTTAAAGATTGTAACGTGCAAGTGGTATTTATGTCATTTTGAAATTGGTGTTAGATGAAATCAGTTATTTATGTTCGCATAGATAAAATAAAGTAGATGGCAGGGTGTACGTCGACAGGAGGAATTAGAAGAGAAGTAAAAGGAATTGTCAACGATTTGATTACTAAAATAAACGACCATGTAATAAATTCTTACATGGGTTTCAGTACCTCCACCGTGACAGTAGCATGGTTTAGTTTTATATTATTGTTAGTAATAAGCGAATTGTTAAGAAAGATAATAGAAGCAAGCATGAGCTCAAATTGAAGATAACTTTTTTTAAACATGCTAGCGCACTTTTATCCATACTAGCGGACATGTTGAAGGCCTGGTCAACGCCTACAAATCAAGATAGTCAACTACCACATATCCTCACCAATACTTAAAAATAAATAATGCCGATCAGACTAAACATCAAGTTATTATGTGCATAACTCTCCAGCATAGATAGAATCCTGAAATGTGAAAGACAAAAACAGATTGATCAATTGGTGCTGGGCTTCGAATCTCTTAAACCTGCTGGATGCTTTACTTGGCAGTATAAGTTGATGCAAGTATTAATCTCTGCAAGAATGTACCATGCACGAGGTTGTCAGTACGGTAATCGCGCTGAGCATGATTGCACAGTAGGATAACATAATGTAACCAGGAGAGTAAGGTATCTACCGTCATGCAATTTATTCTTTGACCACCTTGTCCTCGATGGTAGCGTCGTCAGGTAGCACCAGTTTCTCACCCTTGGCTGCCTCAACTATCACCTTCCCCTGCAAAGGTCATGAAAAGCATTCGATCAGAAGATACCACGAGAAGTAAGTTCGCAATAACTTTCACCGAAATCATATAACCAACACTGGCTCTGGTATTTGAGATCAGCGACAGTGTGTTAAGTTTTACCTTCAAGACGATGTTTTCGCCGAACCATACATCTCCGCTAACTTTTAAAGAGTCCAACTCAATGATGCTGGGAATTGACTTAAATCGCTTCAAAAAATCACCAACCTGGGCACAAAGCAAAATAAGGGCATCGAAAAATCTTAAGAGGTCAAGAAAAAGCATGTACTCTCCGAACAAATCGATGGTTAGTCATCAACAAAACATTTAACGTAGAGTTTTAAAAAAAAAGTGCATGATAAAAAAAACTGGACCTTTTTGAATTCGCCACTGAGCTCAATGGAAGGATTCTGAGGAATGGTTCTTGCACGGTTGCGCACAACTGCACCATTTTGCACTGTATACAAATCTGACTGCAAAGATAATAAAATTATGAAAACAAACTTGTTACGCATTAAAAATAAACCAGAATGCGCAGGGCTACAATGTTGACAAATTCAGGACAACCAGGTCAGCAGAGTTTTGAAAATTTAGAAGTTGATGTTATTAACATTAAGAAAAAAGTCCAAATTTTATAAAACAAGTTTTACATGAGTGAAGACCTTAGAGTTGAAGAATGCAAAGGTGTGAGGCTTAAGAAGTGGGTTATTAGTGACTTTTTAGCGCAACAGTGTCCAAAATCTTCAAAATGACATTTTACCTGAACCAACAGTAAGTCTGATGTAGCCTTCACGGGAAGGAACCGAGATCGAGGAACGTTCACACCAATTGCCCTATCGAAGAACTGCCATGTTTTCTCAGGAAGTTAGTTTGAGAATCAAAAACCTCATAGTTTGCACCTACGATAAGAAAAAAATGTACACTAAAGAAAATCTTGCTGTATTTGGGTCAGAAGAGAAAGCACATACCCGAATTGCAGCACCCGCAGCTGTTTCCAGCTGAAGAACTTTCACGCCATCTACTTCCTGATGATGGAACAAAGGTTGTGAGAACAATTAACAGATTCGGAAGAAGGAATCGGTCTGTGGCATTACAGCAAGAAATGTTCAGTGAAGTACATTAGTAATTACCTTGGGGTTCGGAATAATTTCCATTTGCAAAGCATCGGCTTCGACCAGCCTCTTGATGGCCTTCAAATTTACCCACCTACAGGGAAAGCACATGAAATTGTCAAGCTTCTAAACCACTTTCAGCTTTATCATCAATGAGAACTTCAGCAAATCTCTACCAACCTATCTAGCACACAAACCAGAAAAGCATTTTTAAGTACCAAGCCCAAGCTGAGCGTCCGAGAGCTTACATGTTGTTGGTGTTGAAAATTTTGAATTTGTCGATTGACTTGAACTCATTCACCTGCAAGGTAAGATTTGTTTAGCAGGTGGCTTTGGAACATGTCGAAAAGTCATTAACCGACAGGCAATACTCAATAAAATATCAGAGACGAGTTATCACTTACATGCTCATCAGGAACCTGTGCGATTTCCAGAAGCTGCATACACACAAATATAATTACATGGTTAGAGGGAATGTGACGGCGCGTATAATTTGTGACCAAGGAATACTAACAAGGGAGCACTTTTAGCAATTCCATACTGTACTTTACGGAAATGTGAAATACACTTCATCCTCCAAATACGATCACTTACCTGAACCCTGTCTTCGTAAGAGATCAAAGTTCCACCCTTGACATCAGCAAGGGTCTTTGGTGTGACTTCCATGCAATACTCGTTCTGGTTCTCGACCAGATGGTTCAAAATTTCTAGAAAACAGTTAAGGTACGCATTTGTATAAAAATGGACGAAAATTATCTAAATCAGAAACAATAGCAAAAGGGGAACCAGTAAACATAGAAATAAAAAGAACCAAGTGAAGAATTCGGATACTGAGGTCAACAATCGCTCCCAAATTGTCAGAATTGGCAATAAACACGTACTCCTTGCCCTGAAAACATGAGGTTTGAGAATCAGTGTCTTCCTGCCTAGGAATGTTTTATTCAAAACCATGACGTAGACAGAGCTTCGAAGTACCTGGGCAATAAGCTCGTCGAGCTTTCCAGTGTTAGCGAGTGAAGGGAACACGTCACCATGACCGGGTGGGTACCTGTAACAAATAGATGCAACATTAGAACTAGGCTTCAAGGCGGGCTAAGGTTCAATTTCATTAGACTGGTTGCGATGCCAACTTGGTACACGTAAATCACGCATCCTACCAACCAGCGTTGTCTGTCTTGCCCTTGGCAGGCCATGGAACCATATCCTCTGCAACAACGCGAGGGTACTGGCTCTGTAATCAATAATAAGAACGTCAGTGAGTAAGAATTCCATTTAAACCGTCGAGAGAAACCAGAAGCATCAATAAAAAAAAAAGAGGCTGGAGTCGACAAAAAAACAGAGACTAATAAAATACCTGATTGAAAGTGATAACCTCCAGCTTCGAGTCCGCATATCTTTCAACGATCTGAGAAACTCACAAATCACTTCCGTCAGGAAAAACGAAGAAGCTACTCATCACAAAGATAGGTGAAAAGGATCGAATCGATTGGATATAAAGAAGAAATGAATGTGATGTCGAGATCAGCGAACAAAACATAATTTAGAAAATATTTGTAACAGAGTGAGTGATTGTTCAAAAGCTGAAAAACCTGTAAAGTATCTTCGTGGGTATTGAATGAGTTCATCAAGACCAGGGGTACGTTGGCGTTGTAAGTGTGGTTGAGATTCTGAAAATTAACATGAACAAGTGTAAGTTCCCGCACGTTATCACATTTCGGAAGCCTACGTGAGACTACTTGGCGTGCGACTGACGTTCTGCAGTAAATTAATGAGACATCTACAAGAAACTCCATGAACAGGCTCATACCTCGATTTGCTTCACAATCAGGTCCAAAAATGTCAAACCGTTGCGAACCTCAATAACAGACCTACATTACCCAAATGAATAAAATATCAATCGCGTACCCTCACCCCACTTGCAGTTCCATGTGTTGTTAAGAATGCAAAAATTAGGAATACAATACATCGTCAGATGACGTGCGGAGTATGTTTCATAGATCATTAGTGACAAGAATGTCTTGTGGCCGCCGATCCACAACTCTTACTTTGGACCAGTGCATCCCATTGTTGTTCCAAGACCTCCGTTGAGCTTAAGCACTGCAAGCTTGTCAAGAAGCGACTTAATTTTGACTGGATCTGTAAACAACGGAGGAAACAACAATAAGCACTATCGCCAATATCATAAATCTTAAAGGTGCAAGTCGATATATACGCAGAAACTGAAGACATCACTCTTGTTGTTTAAGTCAACAAAATCAGGCCCGTGAGTAGAGCTGAATGAAGGCATAAGTTCTCACCATCGGAGAAATCGGCCAACTTGTCATACGGAACGACAACCTCATCGGTTGGAGCCTTGATATTCTCCCATTGAATCGCTTCACTCTTCCCACTGCCAATTCAGGATGCATCCAAAAGTGAACAATAAAAATGAACGAAATCCGCATTTGGTTTACTTTAATCAATTTGTTCATGATTCCAGAACAAACAAGTTGTACAGTTACATTTTATGTTAAATTGGGCGCTTTTGCAATACTGCATTGCAATTCTCCTAACGACTTCTGCCTTCACTACAAGATTACGAAAAATCAAACTATACTTGAAACAGTAAAAATGATCATCTGAACTATACGTAGAATCGATTGTACGATTTCGCAGACAATGCAAGAAATGTGTAAGGAATGTAGTCGTTGTTGAAAACAGATCAAGTTCATGATGAAAGCTAGCTATGGAAGAACTCTATACTGAGAAATAAAATTAGTGTAAGATACGCTAGTAACAGAATGTACAGTTATACGAACCTCAAATATCGTCCAATGAGTTTAAGAAATCCTTGCTTTTCATTATCGCTGCACAAGACGAAAACTAAGTTGAGAGAACATGATATTCGCTGCTCAATGCTTCAAATTCATACTTAACACAACAGTTCCTTCGAACTTCTACAGCACGATTTCACTTGAAGAATGCAACAACCTGCTTGCACTATACCACAAAGCCAAGAGTTCAAAGTTTCATAAAAACATCGATAAGCAGCGCGTGCCGCATTGCGGATCGTCGAATTGATCAGGTCTGATTACCTTCCCAAATCACTAAATATATTTGTTTCAATGTGGCAGAAATATTAAAGCATCGTCAAGTTAGAGCAAAAGCGCTTGCAAAACAATTCACAAGATACTCCGTCTCTCAAGACAGAAGATCCAGAAAAAAGATCCACATTGAAACAACCACGGACCAAACTAGCATTAAAAACGCGGAGATTTTCTAATAAAGAATTACGTATTCATTTCTACACCAGGGCATCCGCGCAGAATATGCATACTAAACACGACACCTACACTGCTCTGCCGTCATGGACACAGTCGGCAGCGCCGAGTCACATTATCAAACTTCGCGCGACGAAGGTAGAACAGAAACATCCGCAATGCCTTGTGAAGTGAGGAGATTGTCAAGAAAATTTATTCCACCAGCATTGCGAGAATAAGCGAAGCTCGAGATGATCACAGAGCATAAAATCCCGCAGCGAAGGGAAACAATGCACATCGCAGCAGGGGAGACGGGAAAACGGTGCTGATGGACCTGATCTGGTTGAGCGTAGCCAACTCGAGGCGAATCCGATCGAGCTGATCGACTTTGGTGGTAGCAGGAGCATCAAGCACGGCCGAGGCCATCGCAGAGTAAGCGAGAAGTGTAGTGGAGGTGAGAGGAGAGAGCGAGGGATGGCGAGCAAGACAGACAGACAGAGGAAGAAGTGCAGAGCACGGAGAGCCAGAGAAAGGGCCACAATGGGGACGAAGCGTGAGGGCCTCTTTTGGGCTGGGGTGGAAACACACTCACTCTCTCTCGACACCCGCAGGTTATCTACTTCTATCCCGTCGGGTCTCAAGCGAGCCCGGATCTCGAGCTCCGACGCGGCTCGGTGGCGATCGCGAGGAGGGTAGACGGCACTCTCCGCCGCGTCGAAACGGGTGAAAAGAAGGACGGTCGGCTTACATCCAACGCTCACCTGGTCCCTCACTCACTCACTCACTGCTGCTGCTGCTGCTTCTGATGCCCCATCGCATATGCTGCGATTCTGATGGCTGGCGCCGTGTGCTTCATGGAGCGACGGATGAAGGTATTCTGTTCGTATGGAGATTTGTATAATGGCGCATTGATTGGGAGTGTGAGATATGGAAGACATTGTGTGTGTGTGTGTGTGAGAGTAGAGGTGCGCTTTTGTTTTGTTTTGTTTTTGTTTGTTTGTTTTTTTTGTTTTTTTTGTTTTTTTTTTGGGGGCTTTTGTTCGTTGGGGCCACGTGTGTATGCGTTCCCAACGCAGATCTGACTTTCGCGTACTCTGTAAGCAAGGCGTCCATGTGAGCACTCTGGATCTTGGTGAAGGAAAAAATAATAGTTAAAATACAATAATATCTCTTTCGGACATTGATGGCCGCCAACAATCCATCTTTGTGTCATCCATCCTCCACAATGAATCTCTCATTCCAAATTTGTGACAGGTCGTTTTTTGGGTACTTCTTCAAATTCTACTTTCTTGAACGCCTTTTATTTTTATTTTTTTACCTCAATTATTCCCTGAAAATGTGGGTTTTCAATGTGTCACTCCAGAGAGCAACTGTAAAGGCCAACATATCTTTTTTGCACACATTCAATCCAAAGTAGCCAAAGTAGAAACAGTTTTGGAGTAAATTTTTTTCATTCATTTCTCCTCCAGAAAAAAAATCTTATATAAACATTATTTCGAAACATTTATAAGATGACATAGATAGGTTTTTCTCTGTGTGGTATGAAACCCAAACACCATCTTTGCTATGTATCTATATACAAACAAACTCACAAAAAGTGTGTGTGTGTGTGAGTGACATTCCATCTGTCTTATTTTCTGCTCCATAGATGCACATGTTATCATTCCAAATAATAATGTATAAAACCAAAAATCAATCTAATAAAAATAAAAATAATTAAAAAATTTACACCATAAAAAATGACAGCAGACTGATAGATCCGAATCTGAAGGGAAGTAATCAATAATGATGTGATGACCAACAACGAAATATTTTACAACCTTAACTGCTTGCATGTACATACATATATACACACACACTCTCACGATAAGACCATCCAGTAAAATGCTGGACGCTATATGAAGCGGCTCAATAGGAATATAAACCAAGCAATAATGAAAGCAGAGTATATATGTGTGAATGTATTGAGTCGTCGAAAACACCATATGATCGTGTCCAAATTCCAGTATCAGCATTAGTACTATTATTCCGATCACAAAGGCTCGAGAGTGCTGTGCGCTGGGATGAGGTGCAGGTCTACCGAAAGTTTCTGCCCATCACTTCGTCAGTGGAGTTGGCCTCTGCCAACGCCGTCGAGAGGAAGATGATGAAGATGAAGAAACAGAAACAGAAGCAGAGGCAACCGATACACCCCCTTCTGGAACCATCCTTGTCGTTCGTGTTATTTCTTCGTTTTCTTTCAACACCAGGCTGAATTAAGTTGTTGTCTCACCGAACTGTTTACTAATCTAGCTGACACATGTACAATGCTGCTCCAAGCACTCTGAGGTACCGTGGCAAAGGTGGGTTTTTAATCCTACTGACGAAACCTCTTCTTCGACTTGAGGGAATTTAGAAACATCAATTTCAGATCCAACACCACGTTCATGTTTTACAAAGGATATTATTGCTTGATTTTGTTTAATGTAATCTTGCTTAAATATGATGTAGTGCATGATCAAGTGTACCTCAAAGGTGTATGCCTTTCGACTTTGTCATTGTTTCTAGCTCTAATACTTCCAATTTTTTTTTTTTATAAAACTGACTTATCTACTTGACTATGGAAAGATATCTTTGCATTTTGAAGATAAAGAATAATAATTTAAGTATCAACTTTGATATAAAAAGTATTGATATAATATTTTTGTAGTTTCTTGATGTCAATAAATTGTGAGAGTAAATAGTATTTTATTTATTGTAGAATCCATCAATGACTTGCATGCTTTAGATTTCTTAGATAATAGTTATTCATTAATAAGAATATTCTATTAATGAATATACAAAGATAATATTCTTATTAATGAATACAAAGATATGTAATATATAATATATGTATATATATATGTATATATATATCTATATACATATATATATATATATATATATATGATAATACCATTTTTAACAAATATCATTAAATTTGTGACTAAAATAAATTAAAGAACGTTACTTTACAAAGATTATATACTTACAATAGACTAACTTCTATACCACATATAAATAACTTTGCTATATTGTAATATATAAGTACTTTGAGTTTAGTAGAATTATAACTATTTTTGTAAAGATTATAATAATATATTGTATATTATTTATGTAAGTAAATTTTAATATTCAGTTATTTTTTAAATTTTACAATATCTTTTAGATAGAAATTACTTAAAACATGATTATAATCTATAATATTATCTTTGTTTTACACTACTGTAAAAATAGTATATAAGATCTTGCATATATATATTTCAAATATTTTTTAAGATTTATGATAATTAAAACTATGAGCCACTTTTAACTTGTAAAATAATACTAATAGCTTTAAAAGTTTAAAACAAACAAGGTTGTTCTTGATAATGAATTTGATACTAGATCTACTTATTGAGAGTTTATTTATCTATTATTTTTTATACATAAAATCATATTTCCTATTGGGATTATAATATTCAAAATATTTAAGAATTAATAGATGTATTTTTATTGGCTTTAAATTATTATCAAAAAATTATGTTTATGATACAAAGAAAGTAAAATAACTATCTAATATATATATATATATATATATATATATATATATATATATTTACTATCTTCTATTAGCGCTAAATAAATACATAAATAAATATGTTTTTAAGAAAAATTAGTTGAATGAAATATGATTTTAAAAAATTTACTAATTTCACCAAAATTTTCTAAATATATTTTTTTACCGAGGAAATTAATTTTTTATTTTCTATTCTTTGTTTTTTAATTTTTTTCCATATTATAATAAATAAATAAAAATTATTTTTATTAATTTTCATATAAATTATATCTATTAGATCAAAATTAATAATATAATAATTAATATTAGAAGATGCATCAATAAAAAAATATCTAATAATATCTTTGTTTTTATAAAAAGATAATATAGATTTATATATCATTTAAATATATTAGAAAAAAATATTTTTAAAAATACCAAATATAGCTAAAAAAACTTAAAAATCTATTCAACTATCAAATCTAAAAATATGTAAACTTTAAAAAAAATTATATTGTTAAATAATCTTACTTTATACTATAGATATTATTATATTATATTATTATTTATACTATAGATATTATTATATTATATTATTTTATTATATTATAAATATAATAAAAATATGTAAGTTGAAATAATTTAAATATTAAATATTTATTTTTAATGACTTTAAATCTAAGCATAATCGCTTAAGCATTGTAGTTACAATCACCATGTTAGTTCTCATAGTTGGCCCTTCTCTACTATAGAAGCATATGATAGTAAAGGACACTAACATATTTATTTTCTCTTTTGGTTCTTTTTTTATATTTAGCATCTCTTCTAAATATTATGGCCTAAATACCTACCTTCTCGACATTTAAGTCAACAAAGGTGATTTTCTAATGTGACAAAGAATACTCTTTTGAAAAAAGTTTTCTTTAACTTGTAGCAATGCTAGAATTGTAAACAACCTTGTTAGCACAAATTGTGCTCTAGATCTTACCTAAGGACCAAGGAAGTACCAATTATATATTATAATTTTAAAGTCCTATTGGCAAACATTGATTAATATATTGAGTATGAAAAATATCCTCATGCCATGTCCTTTGCATTGCACAAAGAGCCAAAACTATTGACTTAGATAGTAGGACAAGGATTGAGAAGAAACACAAGGTATGTGAGAATTGAAACAAAGGATGGAGATTGAGAACATACACAAGGGAAGAGAGAGTTAATATGGAGGATATGGATTAAGAAAAATTATAGTGATGGGAGGGTTGGAATGAGGGCCAAAAATGAGAACAAGAAACATAGGCTAAGAATGGAAACAAAAGATAGGAATTGGAAATGAGAATGTGGGAGGGAGGAGTTAGAACATGAGATATGGGCTAAGAAAGAAAGATGGAGAGTAGATAATCCATCCATTCTAATAATGGATGGATCAAATTAATGGTTAGTAGGATGAATTTAATATTTTCCTATAATAATATATATGTTAAGATAGAAAAAACATACAATTTCTACAACTTAAAGTAATATTTTTAGAATTAACATTTTAACTAATAGATTTTATATAGATTCTTAAAAGAATCAAAATATTATAGATTAGACAATCTCTTGAATCATAAAGGGCATGTTAGCCACTTAGATTGTCTCAAATTTTTACATCACAATATTGAAACCAATATAAGTATTTTTAAAAATAATTTAATTTTTTAAGAAAAAAATAAAATTTGACATATTTTACATTATGTTTTTTAAATAGAATTCTAATAATAATTAAAATATTAATATTACATTAATTAGTATCTAAAATATATTATTTAGAAGATATTGATAGGATAAAAATAATAATTAAATATTTAATTAATCATATTTTTAAAATATACTATTTAATTAATACATTTAAAAATAATAGAACTAATTTAATATAAAACATATATAAGATTAAGCAAAAATTGACTTTAAAATAAATATAGAATTCTTCAATTTCTAAAGCAACTTTATATATCATTGTTTCTTATCATAATTGTATTTTGAAGAAGAAGAAGTAGTATATATAATACTTAAAATATAATATAAATATATAAATATATAAAAATATTTTAGATTGATGATTATATTATTATAATATCTTGTAGAATTTTTTTTTGATGTTAATTGTATTCAAAATTGTTATTAGATGTAATATGTATTACAGATAAAATTTGAAGAAAGTTTTTGGTTTGAAGAGTTGCTATAGAAAGTAACTTTTAAACTTGTAAATTCTAAAGCTATTTGAAAGCTTTTATATAATAATATTATTAACTAGTGCTTTTAAAAATAAAACCTATATCCTCTTTAGTATTTTATATGTCTTTTTCGAATACTAGTCTTTACTTAGGATTCTTATGTGTTTTTTTCTTCATAGTTAGAAACATTCATTCTTAGTTTTATCATTTCACAAGTATACATAATTTTATGTCGTTTGTTTATAATTAATTATAAATATGTCATTAATTTTGATAAATTTGTTTAGATTTATATCTTTGACATCTTATCAATGATATGGATTTATATTTAAAATTTTGGAGTTGTAGTATACATTTATAAAATATGAAATTAAAACTGCTAAATCTATAATATCTATTGTTTGATTTTGATTTTGGTTGTTTAAAAATCATGCAATGTGTTTTGGCTAAAATATATATATATATATATATATATATATATATTTAATATATATATATATATAATCACTCACATTTATATATGTATATATATACACACACTAGAGTGCACATAATTAAAAAAAAAAAAAAAGTTACGTTTTTAAGTTAGACTATGTTATTATGTTTTAGAGTAAGAGGTTTACAATATTAAGTATAATCCTCCAACTTCATAATAAAATAATAAAATAAAATTAAGAGTTATATAAGATTCAACTGTTTGTTTTTGCTTTTGTTTTTTTTTGTTTTTTAACAAATTGACATTAATTTTAAACAAGTATATAGATGCAGATTTATTTGTTTCTATGATCAAAAAGAAAAAAGATCAAGTTTTTTTTTTCTTATTGTCTATTTTTACCTCGTGTTTCTTTTAAACAAAGAAATAGATACCTCTCTATAAATTGATATGAAGAAATAGTTCATTATTTTTGCACGGACTGTACAGGTTACATCACATTGACACAAGTGCACTACCCATCTTTGTAGATTCTATTCTTTACTTCTTTCTTTTTTGCACGCATTATTTTTTATGGACTTGGGACTGTTTTTAATAATTGATGGACTCCTTCCTAATTCTAACTTTCTAGAATCAAGTTGTGCTACCTTTTTATTATCTTAACAAAAACCATTCAAGCAGTGCAACAACCATTTTTCTAGTCCACAAGATTTTTGGAATGTGCTCAACATTACAAAACACTGCCAGTAAAATTCCTCCACTGAAAGTTTCAATTAAACTTGCCCATTTAATTATTTATTGTGCATGTATGCGCACCATTATTGCGCACTTGTGCACTATCTCGCAACCGCTAAACTAGTCACGAGGATTTGCTTCGCGTCACTTGGGTCCTTTTTGTCTTTTTTTTACTCTGGATCCCACGTGGTTTCTTCAACGTGTCCTGAAGTAAACACATGATTTCTCTACCATGCAGTTTCCAATCAGGAGGCCTGTCTTTCGAAAGCTTTTGCAGCGGGGAAAAGGAGCTTCTTTGCCCATTCATTCTAGATGTCATTGGGTTGTGAAGAGGCGCTTGGTTGCGTTGATGGTGTGTTGCCTGAGTTCCTTGTATGTGCTCCCACGAACACTGCAGTCGCAGTCATAGTTGTCTGTGCAGATGGTGGGGTTGTCGACGTGAATAGACTCGGTGGGTTGGGGGTTTTGTGGATCTGCGCTGACTCATGTTGTCGCTTAGACTGATCCCTAGTTTAAGCATCAAGTCTGTATAGGACGCAGGCGATGTCCCTATTTAAGTGTTTTACTATCAGTTTCTACGAAAATAAGGTGTTCAGTTGCAGTTTGTGGACTTTTATTAGTAGACTGTACGGGATGGCTTTTAAATGGTTATGAGTGAAGAATAGGCAAACTGTGACGCACTTGCTACCCCGGTCCCAGAGTCTTGCATTCCGAACAGATATCATTACTTTACATGAGAATTCAGCACATGAAAAGCTAATTATACTTCCAACATGAACCGTCTCGTGTTTCTGGCGGTAGACGATGCCACCGAATCAGATAGTTTATACATTTGTTGACCTGGTTTTATTTTCCAATTAAGTTGCATATGGTGCGCAGTTATAAACGTGCTGGTTTACTCCTTGTCGGTGCTGCTGCCATGTTGGCACGACACTCATCTCGTTTCTGGTGCCATGTCCTTACCCAACTAATCCAATCTCTGTCCAGTTTCCAAACCTCATGTTACAGAAGCAGCTACTCACGCGACTGTAGTCAACAGAAGCCTTCGATACCAGCACCATCTACGCAGTTTGTTCCTCGATGCACCTGTACGTTCTTCCATCCTTGCTTCTGTATTTTCCTCCAAGCCGAGGTGTGTTTTGAATGCCGCATCAGTCACATTGGGTGAATCGTGCAATGTCTAATCTAGCGACCTACTTCTCGTGACGATTTCAATGAGGTGAAGTGGTATGAGGCTGTACAGAGGTATGAACTTCAGTTTGTGTGTCGGTGCTGTGTATTGCCATGCCTTAAAATTCTCTGTTTACAATTCACTACGAAACGCTTTGATCAATTATGCAGTTAAATACAATGAGCTACTGCAATAATCTTTTAGTTACGTGACGGTGGTAGTTACAGTACTAATTAGGCTCATTTATTCAAGGCACTAGTTTGTGTACTACCAAATCACGTATTTCTATTTTTTAATTGTATTTTGGCACCATAATTTAGATAGCAGGATACAAATCAAGCTATTAATGTGATATTATGTTTTGCGCACTAAGGAGTTGGAGCAACTTTGAAACTGCACACACACATCATAAGGACAAGAGACAACTAAAGATAAATAAAATGATCAATCTTCTATTCCCAAATGAATTGCAGAAAAGACTCGGTGATGATGCACAATTAGGTTAATCCTCGCAAGGCACTCAGTTTCAAATGCAAAACTTCTGAGGATCGTGCCAAGTAAGGTTTCAGTGGAAGCTGAGGATTCGAAATACCGAAGACCACTGGATGTTCCATGCTAACTTTGGACTCGATAATTTCTCTTACTGTTGTGTTTTGAAACAGTGAGGCAAGGGGTTTACTTGTATGGAGGATATGTCACTTCATGAAAGACGCCTGCAAGCAAGGACTTGTTCGTGACGCCAGACGTCTTTATGGTAGAAAAGAATACTCGATAAATGCCCCACTTCTTGTGCATCCGTGTGTGCGGTCATCGATGAGGGATGAGCATGTGCTGATACTCTTTCAGGTAACTGTAACGGTTTCGATCAATTTCAGATATCAACGTGTCTGATCACAAATGGTTTGCTAGTAATAGGACCTGATTTGGGTGTGTTCTTGCCACTTTGTGATCGAAACCGTGGGTCTATGAGCTGAGACTGCCTTCGGCGGTGCCGTGAAGGGCTCCTTCTCACTTCTATCAATTCCATGCAGAAGTCATTCCGCAAGTAGTTTGAAAACGACTACCGATTTGAGTAGTTGGTGGTTTCTCAAATGTTCTCAGCTGTATCCCCAGCGACAGCAGTCGCAAGTCTGGAATGCTAAATCATCGGTTACTCTCAAGTTTTTCTTGCAGTGGCTTCGAATTTCCTTTTCTCCGAGCATATATCCGTGCGTGGCAACTTGTCCTCCTAAACTAGGAATGATATTATAAAACTGTACTAGAATTCTTCCATTGCCCTCGAGTGTCATGATTATTCACTAAGTGTTTTTCCGCCTAATCAAATAAACTCGAGACTGCAGCAGAACTGAATATTTCGTGCAGAGGAACCTTTCGGTAGTTTCATGGTGCTGAAGAACTCCGACTGCAAGTGCACAGATTTGTGCGACCTAAATAGTACTTTTCAGAAGCCGTTACTATGCATCCAGATATGCAAATTCAATGGCAGATCCTAAACACTATGCTAGTTGCTCACAATACTGATAGCTGAATTTGTAAAACATCGAAGCTTCAGCCTCAATGGCTTAAACTAAAAAACAGATTAAAGGGCTTTGAATAAATGGAAAGGATACACTTCGTACACTCAAGCTTGCAATAGGATGATTTAGTTCCAACTTGCTTTAGTACCTTAGTGCAATATAACAGCCCATGAGGTAGATCGACATTCATTGAATGATGTACATTACAAGTAACAAAAGATGAGAAACGGGACTGCCAGTTGGGTAGTATCGAAATGAGACAGCGGGTGCCAAGAGACAAACAATTGCTTCAAATGCAATATCACCGCTTGCTTGGTAAATGGCCCTTGGGGTTTCACCTTTTTGAAATCTCTCCCTATACACAAGATCTCTAGAAATGATACGCTACTTATGATGAAAACGTTACATTGAAGCAGAACACTCTGCTATCCACACTCGGGAGAACATGACATTTCCTGAATCCTCTGAAACCTTTGGGATCTATGAACACTGCTTCAGCAAAGGAATCCAAGGTCTCAAGACTACAAAGTACACTTCTAAGCAGGATGAGAAGAAAATGCACAAGCGAAAAACCGCACGAATGTACAGGTCCTCACTTGTCCTGGTTCAGAGGATTATCAGGCGACTTCTTCCACAGCTTCCACAACATATCCTTGTATTGAGTGTGAGTAAGGCCCGGTTTCTCTTCTTTGAGAATTGGCAGCTCTGACTCTTCAAATGCCTGTTCAGCAAGCATGAGAGCTTGAGATGAGAATGGAGAATAACACATCTTTTCACAATTACATCGTAGGTAGAAGATATAGAAAGGACGCTCATTGTAGGGGATCATACCGAGGATCCATCATGATTGTGCAGTACCACATGGACTAAAAAATAGACAGAAATACCTTGTACGAAGCTTTCAATCTTCGCTCCGGATGCCGATCGGCAGGCAATTCTGGAGCATTCAGAGTGCCGATTTGGGCCAACGCCGACTCCAAGTCCCGCGCATCCACGAGATCATCCTCCCGATTCCGATTCGAAACACTGACCAACTTCTCATACTCATCAGGGTTGCTCATTCGGAGCTCCCTCTTCTTCGCCGCTGCAGCTTGAGCTGCCAACGCTGCCTGCTCCTCTTCCTTCCGTTTCGCCAGCTCTGCAGCTGTGACTTTCGGCACGGGGACAGCCACACGTGTGGCCTTCTTGTCAACACGTTTGCCGTACTTATCCAACTCCTTCTCCTCTTGCTCGGCAAGCTTCTTGGCCTCGAGCTTCTTCGCAGCAGCCTCGGCCCTGCGCTCGGCCTCTTCCTCCCGTTTCTTCGCGGCCTTGGACACGGGTCCCTCAGCCTCCTTCCAATACGATTCCTCCTTCATACGCTCCTCCTTCACCTTCTTCTCTACATGCGCCTCGGCTTTGCGCGCTCGCGCCTCCTCGGCTTTACTGTTGGTGCCCATTTTCTTGGGCATAGCTGCTCCTTTCAAGCAGGATTGAGCCGACCGAGGGTTCACTTCCTTCCTACCTTCCTTCCTTCCTGTGCTTGTGGACACGACCTTACACAGACAGACAGACACATACAACGTACTTAGAACCTCGGCCCTACAGAACGAGTCAGCGGAATCCGATCGATCATCAACAGAACAATTGCAATAGGAAGGAATTGAGAGTGAAACCCTAAATCGACGAGAAGTAGGAAGGCGGAGAAGCTCTCTACATCTGGAGGCTTCGTTTTCCCTTCCTCCCTCCTCCCTCCTTCTTTGGCTCACCTCCATCCTCCTCCTCCCCCATTCATCCTTCATTATACTTCATCCTTCATTATACTTCATCCTTCATCCTTCATTATACTTCATCCTTCATCCTTCATTATACTTCATCCTTCATCCTTCATTATACTTCATCCTTCATCCTTCATCCATCCATCCATGCACCTTGAACTAATGCTCCACCTGTTGCAGCCATGAATAAGGAATGTGTTCATTTTTTTCTTCTTCGTCTTCTTCTTATTTTTAAAAAAATGAATAAAAAAAAAACTGTTGATTTAAAATCAATTGAGTCAAAATTCTAGTAGCACATATCCACCTTGAATTATGCATGCGATTCAGAGAATTTCCATTTCGTTTGTCACAAATTTAGCTATACCAACCCATTGTGATTTGTTCAATACAAATTTTTTATGTGGTGTGAACTTGATAACTAAAATAATTCGGTGGTAGTTTTTTCAAAACCATGATCTTCTGTAAAGAAATAAAATTTAGTATTAATTAATATAAGAAAAATAATATTTAATTAATTTAATACTGCTACTGTGAATTTAACTATAATTGCAATCATAACAACACTGATAAACAATTGATGCTACAAAAAAATAAAAGACGTTTAAAAAATTAAAATATATTTTTAATTTTCTATTTTTAAACAATAATAATTAAAGAGTTTTTAAACAAGTATTAAAAATAGATTCAAAATAAAAGAAAAAAATACTTACTACGACATGGTGCTCAAAAACAGAATTAGCAATCTTATATTATTTAATGTCTTTATAAATCATCATACAAGATTTCAAAAGAAACTTTTATAATAATTTTTATATCCATGTTTGATAATGATGGTTCCAAAGCACCTAATTCTCCAACTTTTATGAAATGCAATTCTTCAAATTTATGTAGTAGATGCATTGCTAATCCATAATATTCAAAATAATCTTGTCCATTTGTATGGATCAACCTATTATGTAGAAATTTAACATCATCTTCTACTTCATTACATGTTGCAACATCAAAAGTAGCAAATGTGTTGTCTTTAAATTTATTGAAAGAATGCTTTGAAAGAAAAATACTTGCTATATTATAACAACATTTCAAATTCCATAGTAGTTTTCTAAAATCTCTTTTTTATTCAATAAAAATATAATTACTTTACACCAATTGGATTTTCTTTAACTTTCTATTAAAAAATAAGTTTTATTTAATGTAGAAAATATCTTTCTTAGTAAAAGCTCAAATTCCAATCTATTCTTGTTGCATTTCATTAGATACTTAGAAATCTTTGTATAAATTTTTTATATTAATTTCTATTTAATAATTTTTTTTCTTCAATAAAACATTAAATGCTCCAATATAGACTTGAAATCCTTTCCAAGTCTCTCTACAAATATCTTGCAAGTTTGATATTTTCTCATTTTGTTCCATGATACTTGAAAATCTTGATATAAAAAACCATATAAATAGCTATAAACCATGATTATATATTGTTAGATTAATTCCAAAAGATATGCCATAATGAATAAGTAATAAATATTTTTTTTTTTACTTTTTTGTCACTTGAAATAAAAATTATAATTGATTTATTTTATATTTTAAGAATATTTACCAAACATTTCTATTTATCTATAATACTCTATAAAGCATATATTTTTCTATTCTATTCATTAAATTCATAATTTTAAAAAAATATTTAATTATAAATAATTCTATAAATAATATTGATATTTTTTAATATATTGTAATAATAAAATTCAAACCTAGAATCTATTATAAGCCTTCCTAATTCTAAATTATAATTCCAAATCTTCAATAACTTATGACAAAAGAAATCTATCTAACATATTATTATGCAAAACTAAAATAATCTTTAAGCAAGATGAAAAAATATTTTTAAACCTTTAAAATAAGAATATAACATCAAAAAATAAAATTTCTTAAATAAACCCACCACCTTTTAAATAAAAAACCAACTGAAATTCCAATAAACATCCAACCAAAGTATATCTTATGTACACTCAACTAACTCCAATACAAATTTTATTCATAAATTTTAATAAATATAGCTTTTAAAATTTATTTTTATTTTTATTTTTTATCTTTCTTGTTTCTACTAATTATAATATCACAAATAAGAATCATTTTTAATTTTTTTTAATATTTAACTCAATTTCACCTATATTCCTACAAATTTCTTTCTTCTTATATTTAAACATACAAATAGCATATACTACAATTACTAGTTTTTACAACAATATCAATCATTACTAGACCTAATAATATTTTTCAAAGTCACACATTAGCACATTTTTGCCACATCTAACTTATTATAAGAGAATGTTTTTAAAAATAACAAAATGAAGATAAAAAAATTAATATGCAAATTCTTATTGACATGTAGGAAGAAATGAATAAAGATAGTATGTAAAAGAATCAATGAAGGCATTGGTGTTGAAAGAATCTTGAATTAGTGCAATAATCATAAAATAATTAATGTATGTCTTACATAAAATTTTATAAGCCTAGATAAAATATATTAATAAAAAACTATTCAAATCCAATACTTTTAAAATAAAATTAGCACAACTCATTAATTTTTCTTTATATTTCTTTAATGCACATAAATATAGACTTTGTTGAATACATTATAAAAAAATATCTATGTTTAAAAGAATATAAATTATAAACAATTAATATTTTGAATTCCTATGTAATTTTTTTATTGGAATATACTAAAATTCTGCATTTTTAAGCTACTTGCTAAATATTATATAAACTTATCTAAATCCTTTCATCTTCCAATTTCTATTTAAAATAATCATTCATTCATATTAAATTTTTCTAAAATATACTAAAATGGAATAAAGATGAAATAAAGATAAAATCATAATTTTAATCTTTACTCTATTTTAGTATATTCTTATAAAAAATATTTTTTTTATTGTTCTAATGATGTAAAAAAAATAAATTGAAGTTATTATAAATAATTTTTAAGGTTTATAGATTATAAAATAAATAAATAAATGGATTTACCTCAAGGATGATTTACTTGCGAAGTCAAGAATTTGAATCTTATTAAGATTTATAAAGTAGCATGTAGGATGTTCTATAGAGATAATAAGATCTTAGTCTTAAACTCTTAGATATTTTTAAACAAAAAACTCTAAGAATCTAAAGAAATAAAAATAACATAAATGTCAAAGAAAAATGACAAAAAAAATGAAAAAAAATTATATACTGAAGAAAGAACTTTAATAGCCATTGCAAAAAGATTAAATATTCTTCAAACTAGATTAAATGCACAAAAGATGTTGAAAAGAGTGAAAAAGGTCTTATTCTTACTTCCATACATACTATTCAACTAAGGAGATATATAACAACATTCTATAAGTTATGCGACACATGTCCAACTTAAGAAACATTGGTCTAACTTATAAGACAAGTTTCCTACATAACTACTATAAGTCCCACTTATATAAAAAGTGGTTAATATGTGCAATATGTAATTAATTTTTAAAACAAGTGGTCAACATGTTCAACATATTAGTAATTTATTAACTAATTTTTGAACTTATCAATCACTTACAAATACTTATAAAATCAAATCTATATCTATAAAGTTTTTAATTTTTTTTTATTAAGATATTATTATATTAACTTATTTTTGTACACATCTACCTATCTACTCTTATCTTCTCAATCTATTAATGACAAGACTTCAAAGAATGTAAATAAACAAGTAATACATGTCTTAAAGAAAGATGATAAAAGAAAAATCAGTAAATATGCATATTCAAGAAAAGATTGGAATGACTATTGTTGAAGACTAAGAAACTAAAGACTCTTGAAACTAAAATAAAAGTAAGAAAGGAATTAATAGGAGTAAAAAAGAATTCACTTTTGCTTCTATATATACCTAAAAAATCAAATCTAAATCTATAAAGCTTCTAAAAAACTTATCTATAAGACATTATTAAATTTATTTACTTCTACTTATTTCTATTTCACTTCTTTAATTTAGTTAAGTATATGTATTTATAATATTATTATCTTTTTTAGAAACAAGTTCTATGAAGAGCAATAATTGAAGAAGTTTAAAATGCAACAAATTATATTGGTAACATACTTTGAGCTTTATTTCCTTCAAAGATAATTAATAGGTTTTTTTATTCATTAATAGTATCTTATATTAGAATAAGAATCCCAACTCATTTTTTGATTATTATTGACATATTTGTAATTTTTTTTAAACAATACATTTGGAACACCATCAGAGAATGATTCTATCTTCAATAATATCACTTCATATCAAGAGTCTCTTTTAATATAGTCAATCTTGAAAAACAAAATCTTGACTATATTAAAGAAATTGTGATATCAAATGCATTATATTCCACTATCTATTTTACAATAAATATGTCATTTTTAAGGGCCCTTATCTCTAATATATTGTGTTAAAGGATGTGAAAATTTCAATGTTTTATCTGGTAACTTATCAAATAATAGTTCTTAAGTTGAATTTTATTGATTATTAATTTTCTATCTCTTTAGCACCAAAAGTATTTAGAAATTATAAACAATGATAGAAGATAAAATGCAATCATTATTGAATCTTATTTTTTTTTATAACAAAGAATTATTTGACTTTTTATCTTAGTTTTAATGAATGTTGTTAATAAAAAGCATCAACATTTCTTATTATATTTGCAAGATTTTTGGCTCGCTTATGCGTACATTCATTAATGTCATATATATATCAACGTATAAGATATTCCAACCTATTTCAGCATGACCTTGGGTCTAAGACTTCTTCAACTCCGAACTTTGGATTATTGTCCACTTTTATAAGAGAAAATGGAATTTATCTTCTTTTTGATATGACCACTATCTTATATGACTCAAGAAAAGATACATTAAATATAAGATGGATCCTTATAGACTTTCATGGATATAATTGATAAGTAACTAAATATATATATTC